TTTTTTTTTTTTTTTTTTTTTAAATAATCCTGATCAATTATAGATTTCACATAATTTATACAGATATCTCAGGAAATCCAAGTCGTGTTTCGTAGGAAAGTTTTTCGATATGATAAATGGATGTTTTTAGTGTATTAATCATGAGAGTTCTTCGTATACATAAAATCTGTCATTTGCGTAACACTCAAAAGGAATTTCTTTAATTGATCAATTTTTTCTTTTGTTTCTGCACAATTACATCGAACATGTATTTTCTTTAATCGAATTACATTGCGGATTTTGTGCAAAGGAAAAAAAAAAGGAAAAAGTGATCCTGATTTCTGATAAATCAATGTGCTAATCTATGAATCAATGTACCATTCTTCAATTTTTACACACAAGCATCTAAAATTGAATGCTATTAACAATTCTCAGCCATTGTTCTTTCTTTCCGTATCCTTCAATTCTTCCTCAGGAAAGTATCTGAACTTTAATTTCATAAACCATTCCGCCTTCAATATCTCTCCATGTTTTCATTTTTTACCAATAAATTCGTGATTTTTGTATTCATTAATTGGGATAAAAGAACACCACTCCATGTGTAAAAAAATTCTCTCACGTGTTTTATAAAAAATAATTAATATACTATTACTACTCTTAATATCTATCATTAAAAGAGTTATAAGGTCCATTCTATCATGTTTAATATAAATTATGTTAAAAAAAATTGTATCTTTTTAATATACATTATAATTTTACAATATATATGAAAAATAAGAGGTAAAAAAAAATAATAAAAATCAACTATAAATATGCCATCACTCTTATGCCTTCTACCCATCTCTCCCTTGGACTATAAATTATGGCACAACCCGGTACCACTAGGTGACTATATTCTCTTAATTTTAACATGACATATAATTAAGATTTTTAATTTAAAAAAATCAATAAAATTTAATTATATATTATATCATTAAAAATTAGTGATGACTAATGCACACTTTTGCTAAATATTCACTTATACATTTTTTTAATCACAATATAAATACAAAATATTTTATTTCATATTTAAAGATTTTGAATTAATTTATTTATAATAAAAGTCATTTGCATAAATATGACCTGAAAATTAGTGGAAAGAATGCATCATAAAATAATTTGTTCCCTTAGTCCCTCTCTACCCCATACCATAGATAAAAATAAAATGGCATAGCAAATAGCATACACTGTTCTTTAATTTCTAAGACTTTGGCGCTCAAACCCTTCCAATTCCTCTGTCCCCTTACCCCACACCTACACGCGCGCACTCTCACTCTCTCTCTCTCCACTTTTTACCCTAAAAAGAGGCGTTAGTTTCTTCATAAGCCCCTCTCTTGCAGCAGTCTTTTCGGCCAAACTTCGGAAGAGAGGGGATAGATAGATAGATTTCAAGAGAGAGAGACAATCGCATATATATAGAGAGAGAAGCGAAAGACGACTTGGGTCAATAGTGATTTTGTTCTTACTTCACAGATTCTCATTTCTCACCGTTTCATAAGAGATCTCCCTTCCCCTCAAATCCTTCTCTCTAAAAGACTCAATCTTTAATCGCAACGCCCAGTTTTTCGTTTTGGGGTCCCCTTTTTTTGTCCCATAATAAATCCATTATTTATTTTTTTTCTTCTGTTGGAGAGATTTTCGTTTTTAACAATGGCACCCAGTTTTGATTGCGTTTCTAGCCTTCTCTGTGCGGAAGACAACAGTATTTTTGACGAAAACGATTATGGGGGTTCGGGGGAGATGTTGGATGACACGTGGCAGCATCCTGGATATGATCGAAGCCTTAGTTTAAGTGAGAACTTGGGTGGTCCTATTGGGGGTTTTCCATTGATGAGTGATGACTGTTTGAGATTGATGGTGGAAAAGGAATTCCACCACTTGCCTAATGGTGATTATGTTAATAGGCTGAGGAGTGGAGATTTGAACTTTGAAGCCAGAAATGAGGCCATTGATTGGATTGAAAAGGTGGGTCTAAGAGCTTGTTTGATTTTTGCATGCTCTTTGTTACCCATTTAGTCTAAAATCTACTCTTTCTCAATGATCAGGATTCTATTTTGTGTTTGTGTGTTAATGTAATTTGGGGATTCTTTTTAATCTAATCTTAAAATGGGGTTTCTGAAAATCCTCCTTTTGGCTATTGATGATTTTATTTCGAAGAGTTTCAATTGGATTTGACTGCCTCTTTTGGGGATGGATGATGATTCCAATAGTGAATCCGATTTGGTTGAATTGGATTGTCCTTTTATTTTGAAGTTGTTTTTTGGGTGGGATTCCTTCGTTCATGCGTAGTTTTAGAGTTAGACTAGTATTTCATTTTTGCATCAGTTTGAAGACATTTGTTATTTGAAAAAAAGATTGATCATTGATCGCGATTTGCTATGGTCTAACTAATGGACGAATATGATGTTTTATAGGTCCGGGAGCACTTTAGTTTTGGACCTCTCTGTGCATATCTATCTATAAACTATTTGGACCGCTTCCTTTCTGAATATGAATTACCAGTAAGTCAATTAGTGAAGGCAAACAAAAGAAAAAGCTTTTAATTTGATCTTATTTGTCAGCTTCTCAAATGGTTTTTGATCTAATCTCTTCATTTGTAAAAGAAAAAAGGCTGGACAATGCAATTGTTGGCTGTGGGGTGCTTATCTTTGGCAGCCAAAATGGAAGAGACTGATGTTCCTTTGTCTCTTGATTTGCAGGTAAAATATTTTCAATTCCATGCTTAATTGTTTGAACATTGGAGATATTGATTGCATGTATGATTTAGCTTATATTAAAGATCCAATTGTTTATTATTCTGATAGATTATAGTTACCTTGAAATTATTATTTTTCCAAACATGCACTATGTCTAATGTATTTGATTTTAAATGTGTTGATCTTCTTTTTATATCATAGGTGGGTGAATCTAAATATATATTTGAAGCTAAAACAGTTCAGAGGATGGAGCTTCTGGTGCTAAGCACATTGAGGTGGAGAATGCAGGCAGTTACTCCATTTTCCTTTATTGACTATTTTCTCCACAAGATCAATGATGGACAAAGTCCAAATGGAGATTCAATTTTGCAATCCATCCAGCTTATACTGAGTACTGTAAGAGGTACATGTCTGTTTCTCTCTCTCTCTAACTCTCTGCAGTAATAATAAATATGATAGGAAAGAATTAGATGATAATTTGGGGAGTGGGAATCCTATGTAGGAATTGACTTCTTAGAGTTCAGACCCTCGGAGATTGCAGCAGCAGTGGCAATACATGTGGTGGGGGAGGCCAAAACAGTTCACAGTGAAGAAGCAATTTCTGTTCTGCTTCAGCTTGTGGAAAAGGTATGGTGGTGGTCCAATGTTAATAAAAAAGTGAAGATAAATAAATGATGATTTTCCTTTTTGAGCCTGATCATTTTAAGTTGATTACTTGTAAGTTATAACTCATCAAGTGCTATTAAATGTTGGCATAGTTTAATTAATGTTTACTTTGTCCTACTTGATTTTTATCTTTTGGCAGGAGAGGGTCTTGAAGTGTGTTAAAATGTTCCAAGAGCTGTCATCAAACAGTGATTCTGCTAAGGATGCTAGTGCTTCTGTTTCTGTACCTTGTGTGCCCAAAAGCCCAATAGGGGTGTTGGACACTGCATGCTTCAGCTTCAAAAGTGATGACACAAATGCCGCTTCATGTGCAAATTCTCCACATAACAATAGTCCAGATGCTAAAAGGAGGAGGCTAAACAAAACCTTTGGAGAATAGCCATTGTGGCTTGTGATTTTCATAGTCATTCCTAGGATGCTTTTCTCTAAAAAAAAAGAAGAATATATTGTTATATGTTTTGAAGGTGCCCCTCAAGGGAATACCAATGACGGATGTTGGCAAATAGATAGGGAACTTAAAAAATAAAAAATAAAAAAAGAAGCATAAAGAGTGCCAAAAAGATAAAGGTGGATCGTTCCTCGGTGACAAGTGAGAGATTTTAAGAAATGGAATCAACATATTTCATGCTCCAACCAGGAAGTGACTACTCACACACCAGCTGTTAAATATTTTATAGGTCTTTTAACAGCTAGAAAAGAGGTAGTGAAAGAGGGGGAATAAGGACTAGCGTATTTGTATGTGTAAGTACATTTTGTCTTTTTACTTTTAAATGGGGGAGTAAAATAGAACCCAAAAAGCAAAAAACAATATTAGATACAGAGCTACCAGTATTGTGAAATATTTGCGGCATTTATAATATTTTTGTCATTATCCTTATTTTATTGGTTATATTATTTAATAATCAGTTTTGCATCTTTTGAAAAGTTGACAAAAGATAACAATATGTTTTTCGAAGGTACAAAAAAATATTATTATTGTCCTGTCACCATACGGATCTTGCTTTTACTACAGTATGCCCTGTCAGCAATTCAATTGGACACTTTGACCGAGTGACACTGTTTAGAGTTTTAGACCATTGCTTGGTGCTTGGTGGTTTGATAAGTTCCTTTCCGCAAGCACCAAAAAGAAATGTACAAAACAATAAAGCTGTCTTGTCTTCCCAAATCTTATCACAGGACAAAACTTAGAATCATAATTAGAAAAATTATGTAGCTATAATTTTGATTCATTGGGTAGCACCTAGGTATAAATAATAATAATTTGCAAAATTCTAACACCTAGTGGCTACTGGGTCGTACACCAAACTACAGTAGCCTTGTACAAGAGGAGAGAAAGTGTTTTTTGAGTCGATCAGTGTGGCTTCCAACATGTGAGGGGTTGAACTTTGATGACATTGGTATAATGAAAGTGTTTTAGGCTTAGCTTCAGGGAAAGGGAGGCGTAAGAAGCACATGGGAGATATATAATTGAATTGTTGCATCTAGTTTCTAGGATTCTGAATTTTCTCAAAGGGATAATTATTTGGGAAAAATTAATTTGAAAATGACATTTTCATGTTTGGTGCGTATGATTTTAAAATATATAAATGTTTGACCATTTTTACTTTTGAGAAAATAAAGTATACACGTTTTCACGCATTTTTATTCCTATGACTGGAGAAATATATCATGCTCAGTTTATTGTATAGAAGTATTAGAACCAACAATTTAATTCGATTGAGTTCATGGTAGAACGTATTTCAGTATATTTTCTTTTTTACTCTTAGATTGTGCTTCAATTAGAGATTTTAAATTTCAGGAATTTAAAATGTTAGAAAATTTTATCTGTTTTGATTTTTTTTAAAATTATTTTGCTTGGATAAATTAATTTTAATTTTTAAAATTTCAAAATCTTAGTCAACCTCAAATTTCAAATTCAATTTTGTTAAACTTCAATATTAAATCTTTATAAAAAATAAACACTAATCAACTTAAAATATTTAGAAGTAATTTTAATATTATATTTATTTTATAAGTATTGTTTGATAAGAAAAATATAAGTGACATTTTTTGTTTTTCAATATAATATTAATTATTTTTCCATTTTTTTACTTTTAATGATATTTTTTTGAGAATTATTATTGTGTTGCATTGTTTTGATAAAAAAAGAAGTTAATATTATCAAATTATTATTCTCTTTCATTTATTTATTGGTTAATATAAAAAATTATCTAAAACAACATTTAATGAAATGGAAGGAGTGTTAGATGATATTTAATATTTCAAAAAAGAATTTTTTTTTATTGATAAATGAAAATGGTAAAACAAGAAAGTACTCCCAATATTACTAAGCACATGGTGTTAATGGTATGTTGAGTTGGATTATTGTACAAGTTTGTACTGCAAATAGTTTCACATAATTACAGTTACTTAATTGGTTTTTGGACATTAAAGACGTTCATGGAGAGAGAGGGTTGCTCACTAAGCGGTTAACAACAGTTTTTCTAATACTTTATTATTGATTAAAATTTATTAAAAATTATAAATATTGAAAAAAATTCACTAACATAGCTTAAAAGCTGTTGGATCATCAAAATATAATAACCTTTGCTATCATAAAAGCTATGCAACGATGATATGCAACATTTAAGAGGATGGACATTTCAAATGTCATTGGTATCAATATGTTTTTTTTTTTTTTTTTTTATGATGATAAACCTTATTAAATTTTGATAAAAACAAGATAAAAATATATGTATACATCCAAGTTAAAGCATATCATTTTGAGTTGAACTACCCCTAGTCCAACATGCTAACAACATATTTATCAGCGAAATCATCAACTTGTAGAACAATTATGCTCAAAATCATGCATCAAATCATATATCAAATTCATGTATAAATATCATATAAATTAGAGCATATACCATATATATACACCAAAGCAACATGAAACACACGTGCATGAGAGATGTAGCAACCTCGGTCGCGACGGGACGGCGAAAAAT